TTGGACCGTACGTGCTTATAAAAGTAGCAAACTTACCTCTTCCGAGTCGCAGGCGAACAGTCATCAGCCGCGCGCTGATGCCCGTTGGTTCACCCACCAGCTGGCCATGGAGGCGATCGGATATTGCAAATCCGACCCCATGTTCACGTGGTGCTGAGGCGGCGTTCCCCACCCAGTAGAATGTGTAGCCAGCACCTGCTTCATGTAACTTACCTTGCTCAGCGAGCCGAGTTTCACTGAGCGCCGCAATATCGATGTGGTAGCGCGCCAGCTCCATCGCGACCAGTGCAGTGCGTCGCTCCGGGCGCTCGCTCGAGTTCCGGTCCAGTAGTGTGCGCACGTTCCAGCACCCGATGTTGAGTGCTTTGCGCGCAGGCATACGATTGCAATGGTGGGCAATCGCACGCGAGGTGGTCGTTGTGCTTCGGAGGTTTGCTTGAGGGACTCCACCCGGAGCCTTTGGCTCAATAGCCTGACCCACAAGGCAGTGGGTGGTTTGGAGGTTTGCTTGAGGGACTCCACCCGGAGCCTTTGGCTCAATAGCCTGACCCACAAGGCAGTGGGTGTTCTGAAAGACCTACACATAACATTACGGACAACAGCACCATTTCATTACATTTTTTTCTCTCGGCCCAAATATCTATCATGTGATTGTAAAGAATCCTGATTCAGTGGCAGGTAAAAATAGCAGAACGATTCTGATTACTCTGTGTAACATAATTTGCAATTGCATCCATGTTTATCTCTGAAAATGTATTGATTAAATGTCATGGAAAAGTTGTACCATTATTTGATCTGTTCCTCATAGAGAACAGCTTCTCGCATATTCGAGGAATATACAATTTATTTATTTATTTATTTAAGCCGGAGTCTCCTAGGTTTAAACCGTTTCCAGCAGTGGCCCGGAGTGGAACACTCAGTGTTAATCTGGAAGAAACCTTGGAGCTCCATTCCCATCTCACCTCGTAGAATGCGCCGAGGTTAGGTCAGATCACCTCGGCGAGGCCGAAATGCCAGAGAGAACATATTCAATTGCTGGAGACGAATGTGATATGGCCTGTGTTGGGGCGCAAAGACACCCTTAGAACCACACCGCTGAACTTTCTCAATCAAGCCATGTTCCAACTTTGTAAGCGGATGAACAGCGAGTAATACACATTCGAGGTCCTTTTAAGCTGGATAAATTTCATTCCCCTTTATATGGTTTGTTCTGCCTACCTGAATAATCTCCTATTAACTGGCCACGTTGCCTACGCTAATTGCGCTTACCTTGAGTAACTTTGTTGCGTTTGTAGCCTTTTTAAGTAAATTGTCGACATTTCTTACTTATCGCGGATTCGTTGCTAACTCATTTAATTCACATGCTAATTTGGCGAAGTGTTATATCACCGTATCTCTATGGATTCTTGGATTTATTTTATTTCATCTTTTCATTTCAAGTTATTCGCTGTTGCTTGATATTCCCGATGTGGCTGCGCTTGATGTGCATGTTGTCTATTACCCATTACCTCGTCCATACTGGCTCCAGGAGACAGTTGTTCGTTGCTGGAGGGGACGGGCTGCACGGTCCTTGTGACTGTGCTAGGCTCGAATAGTACTCAGTGTGGAGCGGACTACGGTCCAGCCACCGCCTTGTGTGCGCTTGATCCCCAAATACAGCGAGTTTGTGTTTGCCTATGAAGGAATGTGGGCCGGCTCCGTTGAAGAAACTTGGCTCATATCCGCATGCCTCTCCGTCTTCATCCTTCGGGTTTACACTGGATATGGGGTGTGTGGATGGAGCTGTGGGTGGTGCAGCGCAATCCATCCATGGTCCCTCTGTAGGCGCGGGCGTCCTGTGACTGGCCACAGTGACATGCCAATCCGAAACCGGAAACCGCCAACCGTGTGTGTGTGTGTGTATGCCCCATGCTGAGACTGATGTTGCATTCATGATGCTTCTTCACCCCAGTTGGGCTTAACCAACTTACACTTAAATTAGGTCTTTTTAGTGTGGATAAAATTCGTTCCACTTTCTTTGGTTTGTTCTGTGTACTTACTCCTATGTAATCAGTACGCAGACCAAACTTCTTATAATGCCATAAGTTAATTGGTGACTTAAGTTTGTTAAGCTCGTCGCTTGGTGAGGGGGCTACCGTGTCCTCTGCACGACAGTAACGTGTAAGTCAGTGGATAGTGAGCGGCGCTATATCACATCTAGTAACTTATTCACGGTGGTGGTTGCCGTTTCTCGTAGCTCAGTGGTCTCATCCCCGGACTGGCAACCGTCGAGTTGCGGGTTCGAGCCCTACCAGGGTCCGATCGAATGCGCACTGCTGACGATTCCCGAAAGGATGAAACGCGCGTACAGTGCTTTTCCGGGCGTGTAATGACTGTCTGAGTGAGTCTAGATGTGATGAATTTCTACCTATACTTTTCAACTCCCACTACTACACTTATGTGTATGTGTTTCTAAAATTTATTCACGCACCAATGATACCATTTTCCAAAGCGTTGTCTTGAAACTGTAATGTCTCGAATTTATTACTCACGTTTTGGACGGTTAACTGCTTAGTACCGAAAGCTTAAAATTGCAAAGCGTATAATATTTTCTGATATCCCTCTTAATTTTGTTCCAAATCTTTGAGTAGTAAGGTAAAAAGAAACGTTTTTTGATTATCGCAGTAAATTTTGTAATCATACATATACCTCTTTGTTACGGACTGGATATCTGCTGTTCTAAGATATTCGAACACGGTTATCAAGACTGCGATTTTGACAGTATATGATTCTGTAACAAAAACATAGGTCCAGCTCCATTCTCCGAAGTCAAACTCGGTGAACTCGAAGTTTATCACATCGCTCTCTGTAGGTCAATTATGATGAACATCCACATAAATTAATAAATAAATAAATTTGTATATTTACCGACGGACGGTATACGGCCCCATAAGTGGGAGCGATCATTTGTATAGATTTTTCATGAAGCGACTCTGGACCCTTTCAAGAGCATGCTGGTCAGATTTCCACAGATTAGACTGGACCATTGAACAGTATTCCATACACGGCAATACATGTATATTTTGTAAAGCGATATGTGAGATTCCGTGAGGTAAAAACGATGGCAGACGTAACCGATAGTCATCATGGCCTTCAAAACTTGAAAGTCACAATGTTCAGAAAAGTTAAAAGTGACTGAATATCGCACGTCCATATCGCGAACTGCTCTGCATTGCGAGATATATGCGCTTTGTAGTAATAAACTGTCTGGCGGCACTTGGAATTTGTACGACAAAATATTACACTTGTCCACGGCAAATGACATCTGCCACAGTTGGCACCAGGAGTCAAGGGCGGATAGGTCATCCTGAATGAGACGTACGGCTTACTGAGTATTTGCACGTGGTTGTGAGTAGAGGACTTTAATGCCCTCAGCAAAGATAAATGTAACGCCATTTCTTATTCTCTGGAATATATCGTTAATATAAATTAGAAAAAGAAGTGGACCAAGAACACTCCCTTGAATCACTCCACTAGTGATTGCTTTCGGTTTAGAGAAATGGTCGTCTATGCGCACCACCTGTTGTCTACCAATTAGATTTGTTGATAGGCAAGAGAACATCGGTTCTCCAATGTCTGTAGCCTTCAGTTTGTTCAGTAACCTACTGTTACACACTCTAGCAAAGGCTTTTTGCACATCAAGGAACAGGATTGTAACACTGTTTCTGTTGTCCTTCGCAACCGTTATGTGGTTTCAAAAGTCTGTCTAGCATGCTGCGCAGGATCGACCTTGGAAGAAGCCGTGCTGCGAATTGCTGATGATGTTAGCCTTGTTCAACAATACGAATAATCCATCTTTCACTATCCTTCCCACTCTTCTAGATAAGATGGGTGTGTGATTGATGGGACGAAAGTTTTTAACCTCGGCGAAATAAGCACTGAAAGCTTCGCAGAAATCACCTGGTGCGTCGTAGTATGTTCCATCTGGCGTGATGCTAAAATGGAAATTGTTGCGGCAACGCGAACCCAGGGCACGGAATAGTTTGGCTAGCTCAGCTGTTTTGCTAGGGCCGTTCAGAGCTTTATACGCTTCTAAAAGGAGAGTTTTCTCACATTGATGTCTCTCATCTTTGACGAGCTAAGGCTGCTGTAATAATAGCTCGAGGTCAGCAGTTAACCTGAATTTCTGTGCTGTCATCAACACTTCGCGATCAGGTTTATGTTTAGTTAGGAAACACGTTTTAGTGGTACTGCTAAAATGATGCAGAAGGCAATTATGCTATAAAACAGGTCCGTCGCTTGTTGAGGAGATGAAGAGAGAAACAATTTATCCCAATTCATCGAATGAACCAGGTCCTTCAAAGAGTTCGAGTTGACTGAACTGAACAGACGATAATGCATTGTGTTCTGTACATCGGCCATGTGTAGTCTTAGGCGGCATTTGCTCATGCGATGATCGCTACCCGGAAATTTAAGAACGTTAACAGATTGCAGGTTTCATATATATATATATATATATATATATATATATATATATATATATATATATACAGCACGTGCACCGCATGCTCCAGTATTGCACATATGCTTATCGCCCATGTAAAAACATGGTTACTTTTGCACAACTTGGTCTGTGTATTACAGACAGTTTCACGGATCAGGAGAAAAATACGTATTATTAGTAATGTTATTTCAAATGATTGAAATTTTATTGTTCACTGGAACCCCAATAACTGGGTCTCCTCTCTGGGGAATATAGACACACACATAGTGTCTTTGTTCTCTGTCAATCCCATAACGCTTTAATCAACAGCGACAAAGAAACATTTGTTTTGTTATTCACTTAGTGCTATCCTTATGGTGAAGGATACAATTCGATAAATAGCTCTTCATGGAGATGCCGAATTTATGGAGCAAATATGTCGTTTAGGGATAACGTATGATCTAGAACTTCAGTTTCAACTCAGATGCTGAACCTTAGCTTAAAATGCAGAAACAGAATCTTTCCCCTTCACTAACAGGACTTCTCTGGACTACTGAAGGCGATCCCATCATCACGGAAGAGGAATTCGAAGCAATTGAAAGCATACGGGAACTGAAGGAGGAGTACAACGAATTGTTCGAAAAATGGAAGAGCCTGAAAGGAGTTGTACACTACTGTAGACATATGGTTGATTTAGCTCGTTCTAAGCTTGTCCAAGGTGAGACAACGTATCGACGCGTGTGTGTGTGTCTACTCTGATGACTGGTTGTAATCTAATGCGCACAACTCTCGTGGTTTTCAAAATCCGACTGCAAATTTACACTAAGCGGTATTCTTCTTTTCCAGAGTTTGACGCTTGGTACAAGGGAAGTTTCCTTGAGATGGACAGCTCCGAGATGAAGATGAAAGACAATCTCACATCAGGCATGGAGAAACAGGAAGAGATGGAAGATTTCCAGAGAGTACAGGATCTTCTTTTTGAGCGATCGCCGGACGGCCGAGCCTATGAAATTGCCAAAGAAGCGGTCATTCATAAGGCAAGCACAACTTAGTTCTGGGACGAATTAGGTTTCCAGGTACACCTGATAAACTTACTAGCGGACACGGAACCTGCATACTGCGGACCCTCAGACGGTTCGAGATTTACCGAGGGTTTTGTGCACAGCTTGCAATACCGACGGTGGCACGTTTAGCGATGTTATGCCCCGTACGCGATGGGGATTTACAGAGTGAGAGATAGAAAACGGAAATGTAAGATCCCAATGAGCACAAGAACTTGTCTGCTTAGTCAACGGGTATGCGCTACAAGCCTTGGCCCTGACCACTCACGATATCACTCTTTTGGCGAAGCTGAATATCACCAAGAATGTCTCCGCGAACAGCACGTGATGCTACCTTTATCACTACTTGCTTTCGTGATTCATTCTGTGACACCTCTGTGACACCTTCGGGCGTTTGTCTTGTGTTAGATTGCTGATACAACGCATAGTTTATAAGTTCCCAGTCGAGTTGCCCATTGCTGCCGCACTGCTGCCTATGGGCAAGAAGGAAGGTATATTGCTACCACCACAGTAGGAGGGAGAAATTGCTAGGGCATTCTAAATCGCCATCCTTCCCACACAATCAGGTGCAATTTCACAGTAGCCAAAATGCAGAACAAGTTCCCCGGCAATTCACCAGTAGGACTCCACTGAAAGCTAAGGGGCATGTCCACACCAGATTGAGGTGCAGCTGTTTGCTTCATTGGGCCTGCGGAAACGATGAACGTAGACCACACAACGAGGCGCATGTCCGTCAGAGTGAGGGAACATGACTCTGGCTGACCCGTGACTGTGTGTTGAAGTGCAAGTGACTCCAGCGTAGTCGCGCCACCAATTCGGCAGCTGCTTAGGAGCAGGCGCCTGTGTGCACAGACGGCCGAAGCCATCACCATCCGTCTGCATGAATTAGGAGTTTGCAGTCAGAAAGTACTCACTAAGAAGTTGGAGCTACCTTCGCCCAAACACATTGTGATTTTGGATTCACGCGACGTGACGTACAAGCCCGGTCGCATGACCTAACGGATCCCAATTATTAACATCGGTTTGAAACCGAGCACAGAGTAGGGATCTTTACATTTGTTCACACACACTTCGACTTGCATAGAAATATAAAGCCTGACAAGAAGTTGTCGAAAAACATTCACTTACACACTGATCCTTGTCAATGTTTGCTCCCCTGATGATTCCCGAAATACTGCTCTGCGTAGTAACTGTCAAAACCCAGTTTGAGATGTTTGGATGCGCAGTTACATGCTTCAACTTACTGTGAAAAATATCTTACAAGTTCAACCTGCGAAACGGTATAGTTTTGCTATATACAACTCCTTAAGCTGACAGGTAGTTGAGTGCTAAATTAGCAGTTGGTTCAGGTCAAACACAGCAAACTGTATTCGTGGAGGTTATAAATGATGGTGAGTGAACGCTTGAGGAGCAACTGGCTGCATATGCGTGCTAAGAGAAAGTCAGCGAACTGGACGGACAGTTACGCTTTGTCGAGCCCCGCGACTGGTTCCGCCTACTAAAGGTAGAGAGAATACGAACACCGAAACCTTCAAATTCTGATATTATCTCGGTGACCGGAATGACACAAGCTGACTTCAAAGCCAACCGTGGCCACGAATGAGACTGCTTGTAGATTGCGGGTTGCAATCCGAGAAACACGGGGAGCACTGTAAAACACAAAAAGCAGAATTCAGAATTATATTCATGTGATAAGGGCGCTGTTTCTATAGCAAGATGCATAACAGTAAAAACAAACTACAGAACTAGAAGCATGCGGCCAGACAAAACTAATAAGAATCGAGCAACTGAAGGACCAGTCGAATGCACACAAAGCGAGCAAAATGAGGTCGTTAGTCAGAATGTAGCTGTGATCCGCATCCAGTAACAAACAGGCAGTTGAGAATAATGATATGAAGCGTCAACATAAGTTATAAGAACCAAAGGGGTGGAATGAGTCATCTATTGTGACAAACAGTATGAACCAGATCCACTAGTTCTGACTAATGAAACGTTCACTACTAATCTATGCACTCGCTGAGGTTGCCTGGTGCACACTGCTTCTGTGTCTATTGTCTGTATGGCATGTAGTGTTTCGGGGGCTATTGCTTGCACGCACACATCTGTGGTTCCGAAGCGTTCCTCTCCTTTCGGGAGCTAGTACGGTCCGTTGTCTTTTGGTGTGCTGGCAGTTTTATACTAGTGCTAATTGGCGCAGTGGTGCCTGTCTTTGGTCCACCACAAGGGGTTAGCAGATGAGGGAGCAAAACAAAAGATTGTAGTTGTAAAAGATTGCAGGAACACACTTGAATTGTGGTTAGGTGTATTAAAGTACGAGTAACCACGTACAGAGCAGTAACAATAATGATTGTTCGTATGTTAGAGAAGTAGTCTTTAGGTTTGCTACACATCATTCAAATCCGTCCGATAAGTTGTTCATGAGGGGTGTTATGTTATCATCTGTCGCACCTAACTACCATATTTGTCCGGTTGGATAATCTGAAGAATGTAGTTCATTTAAGAGGTGAGTTACGCTGCTTCTACCCAATGGTTTAGTGCTTGAAACCATCCGATGCTATCGTCTGTGGTGAGCATGCTCATGAATATTTGCCGGGTATGGCGCGAAATTGAAGGTTAGCAGTCTAATTCCGTACGCAGGGATGATTGAGGAAGAATACAACATTGCATACCCGTGTGCTGGAAAACATGAGGTTAAGCCATTTCGGTTCGTTTGAAAACTGCCAATAATAACTTGGATATACTGAGACACTTCCCAATACAAACAGTTTAGCCTTCTAGATCTGAGTAGGAGTACATTGGTCAGTAATCACCTACAAAAAAGTTCTCGGTGTTTTCTTTTGCCTGTATGAGTTTCTCTTCCGTTCATCCATAAGTAGCGTAAGGGAGGAGGATGTTTCGCTCGAGGTATGAGATGTTGGTCACCTCATAAAAGCTGTTTCGAAACCTATGCGCCACGCAACGCCTCAATCATTTTATGCACATTCTTACTGTATGAAACGAGATGACCCAGTTGGAATATATTTTGTTAGATTATAAGTTGTGGGGTGTATTTTATGATAAATAGAGTAAACATCCTACTGATGAGATCCCGTGACTACACACATACTGGGGCCACAAATGTGATCAAAACAAACCAGGCGGTTGACAAAGGAGGCGCATAATGGTCATCTTCCGATGCTTCCGGGGCGTACGCAGCAGCAGTTAGTGAAGAAATCCATCTTCGCCGAAATTTTATTTCCATGCCTCCATTCATGACAAACAGTGCGTCATCCTGAGTGAAATTTAGCATCTCGAATGAGTAGTAACTGCACCTTGTTTGTACAAGGAAGATTACTGACATTTATTTTTATGAAACTGGACTTCAAGTTACGCATCAGACCAGGGCTGGGTTATATAGAAGCGCACCAATGTACGTCACTAAATTCACCCATGATTTCTTTCTGTTTTTAGCACGTTTTCGGGCCGAACGGAAGACCAAAAAATGTCAAATATGGACTTCCCCGGGGTATACCTGTTGAATAATTTACTGGTACACACCACTTTGGTTTGTGAGAAACAGATTTATGTATTTCGTCATTGTGGAGGGTGACAGAATCGACTTTACATAAATATTGGCAGTGTTCTGATTGACACAATACTCTTGTGGGAACTGGGTCCAAAACATGCTTGATGTGAAGCGATATACGTTGTCTGCCATTGCAGTGGCAATGTCAAACCGCGCTTGGGTTTGCGCCCTAAACATGGATTCACTTGTTTCATTAAATCACATCGACACACAGAGGGGATAATTCGCACACGGATCGACCCAGATCAACGGCAAACGACTGGAAACGAGTTGGTTTCGCGGGACGATTCCCAGCAGCTCATACGTATGCAATTCTGTAAGCTACGGAGACGCTCCTTCAAAGGCGCCGGTGGTGTTATAGCATTTCAATCGCAAGCAGTTGCATGCGAACTGAGATCCTACGGCGATGCCCAACTCCATACAAGCGCGAGCTTCGAGCTCGGATGGGAAGTAGAGATCGCAAGCCAAAGGTCAGTTACTGTCCATGCACTGAAAGTGTATCACCACATGGAATCAACTTCAGGACTGACGTCCACGCATTCCAATAACAGCGGATGCTAAGGCACACGTGCAACGAGAGTGAAACTCAATAGCCTGGAAGTGCTGATTGCGAGCACTAAGGCTTGGTGCACCAGGATTCCGCTTTCACTTCGTTATCGTGCCAAAAGTTACGCAGGGGAAATGGAACAGTGGATGAAACAATTAGGTCCGTCGGACACATGAATCTTACAAGTGAGCGGGGGGAATCGGAAACGAGATAGGGGTATGGGTACCACTGACACCTCGAAGATGCCTAATGTGATGGGGTCTGTGGGCATTCACATGGGCAATTCAGTGAGCTAACTCAAAGGAGAGTTTAACGACCAGTGCGACTCAATATTCCGATCAATTTCTTGCTAACCGTTGTCATACAATCGACGGCTTACCACCGTACCTTCCCAAACTGGGTGAATTCTCGCGCAACGACATGCACAAGTCACGCAGTTAACCGACAGCCGAAGTTCATGACTCTCCAAAAAGCCGTGTACTTCTAACACTGCGGAACATCCTTATTGTAAAGAATACTGATAGTAAAACCTCATGTGGCATCTATACGTGTGCTCCTGAGCACAATAAAAACACTGTTATCTTAAACGTTCCACCAAACGCTGTCACCACTGAAAACCTGCAGACAATCGGCAAATCACCAACCATGCAGCATTTGAATATGCGACCTGTGCGCTCCATAACTTGTGAGCCACTTGCGATTGGAGTTCAAGTAGCTGAGAGAAATTGGCAAAACCAAAATCCTCTCAAACTAAATCAACATGTAAATAGTCTTAACTGGCAGGTAGGTTATATGCAACGGCCAGCAAACTGTAATTTCACAGTGGGTCGAAATTTTTCAAGTATTTCGCTCTTCCGACCATTTTTGGGGGTCCAGTGGCGTTTTACCTGCCACACCCCCAAATGACACTAATTCCGCAAATTATACGTCCTCCGTATCCACCACCTACACTCCACTCTCTCTAAATACCACCTCGGAGTCCTGTACCTGGATTCCTGTAGACAACCCAACAGATAACAAGACACTGCACTTACTGTTAATTAATGCTCGTTCATTGTTAAATAAAATGCACTTCATCTGTAATATTCTTCACCTTTCTTATCCTGATATTGTACTAATAACAGAGACATGATGTTCAGCGGAGAGGCCAGACACATTGTTCGGTATACTGGGTTATAACATCTTTCATAATGACCCCTTTATGGTGGTGGCTGTATAACCTACGTCAAATACACATATTTGCTTCTTCCTCTGGAGGAAACCAGTCCTACGGAACTTTCCTGATTCAATGTGGATTACCATTTCTCTTAATACAACAAACCTTTTAGTAGGTTGCATTTACAGACCCCAACCGTCTGCACTAACCGTAAACGATGATTTGTTGGACACACTTTGTTTTATTGCTGATCTCTCATCCACTAATAAAATAATCGCTGGGGATTCTAATATGTCCGAAATCCCATGGTCCGTCACCAATAAATCACAAAAACACAATAACTTTATGTCTACTCTTGGTCGACTGGGATGGGTACATGGCTGGCGGCATGCGGTTTCAGATTTGCCTGTCACTGTGGCAAGCCACAGGACGCCTGCGCCTACAGAGGGACCATGGATGGCTTGAGCTGCACCACCCACAGCTCCATCCACACACCCCATATCCAGTGTAAACCCGGAGGAATAAGACCGGGAGGCATGCGGATGGGAACCACGTTTCATCAACGGAGACGGCCCACACTCCTTCACAGGCAAACACAAGCACACTGTATTTGGGGAATCAAGCGCACACAAGGCGGTGGCTGGACCGCAGTCCGCTGCACACTGAGTGCATGGAACCACTCTTCAAGCCTAACACGGCCACAAGGACCGTGCACCCTGTCCCCTCCAGCAACGACCAACTAGCTGCTAGAGTCAGTATGGACGAGGTAGTGGGTACTAGACAGGTAGGCACCTTGTCAACATGCACATCAAGCGCAGCCACACCGGGGATATCAAGCAACAGCCAATCACTTAAGAGAGAGAGAGAGAGAAAGAAAAAGAGAAAGAGAACAACTCGATTAATGCATAAGAAAACGGTGATATAGACCTTAATTAAATAGCATACGTAATAAGTTGTTTACAAACAAATCCTAGCTATGTGCACGAGGTCAGAAAGTATAGCTCACGGAATGCCACGAACGCAAAAATGTTATGGAAATCGAATACAGTTGGCATAGGCGATGTGTGCAAGTTAATGGAATAGAGTACAGGGAGATATTTATTTGAGAAAGAAAAGCATTAAGGTAAAAACCGTAAACGCACCACCTGAAATAAAGAGACTTAGCATGCAAGCACGCGGTTAGTAAATCGAATTCAGCGTGCCTACAAACGCTGCGCCGGCTCGCCGTAATTCTCTGCAGGACCCGTCGTCTCTTCTGTAGTGGACCCAAAGGGCCTAGCTCAAGGCCCACTAGACATGTATATGAGAAAGTAAGGCATTAGGACAGAACCGAAAACCCACCACCTGAAATAAAGAGACTTAGCATGTATGCATGCGGTTAGTAAATCGAATTCAGCGTGCCTACAAACGCTGCGCCGGTGCTGCCTACGTTCACTTCTGGACCCGTCGGCGCTTCGGCAGTGGTCCCGAGTGACCTCTCTCATGGCTCACTAGGCCTGCCTGACTAAGGCACTCGCGACCGCATGTTCTACAGCACCATGCGCTCGATGTCGATGGAGTACAATTCATTGGTGCTTGCCGCTTCCGCACTTGCCGCTTCTTCTCTGCACGCATGAGGGCTTTCTCCCGCACTTCAGCAACTGCCTTCGTGATTAGATCGCGCCATGCACGCCGATCAACCGCCTTCGATTGCCATGATCTGCAATCAAGATTAGAACGTGTGAGACTCATTTTAACCATGTCCTGGTAACGTAACTTCGGCTTCCCCACGTGCCGCTTCCCTATACTCAGCTGACCGTATAAAAGTTGTTTCGGTATCCGCGTCGAATCCATACGGCTCACATGACCGAGCCATCTCAGGTGTCGCAGTAAAAGTATGCAGTCCACTGCATACATCCCACTTCGGCGCAAAACCTCCGTGTCTGCAACTCTGGCGCCCAAACCGATCCGCAAAATTCGTCGCACACACTGCTGATGGAACCGCTCGAGATATCGCACATCCAGACGGTACATCGTCCACGTTTCACTGCCGTATAGAAGAACGGACAGCTCCATGGATTTGTACACCATCAGCTTCGTGCCAATGCTAAGCTGATGGTTGTTCCACACTCGGTACTCAAGCTTCCCGAATGCCGCTGCCGCCTTCGTCACGCGAATACGCAACTCAACGTGTAGCTGCTGATCAGTCGATATCACACTCCCAAGGTAGCAAAAGCGGGAGGTGGTTTCCAATACTTCAGCACCAATGCTGATTTGCGGCAATATTGAAGATTGCACCTCCGGTGAAGGCTGAAAGAGACAGACAGTTTTGCTTGTGTTGATGGTGAGCCCGAATTTGGCCGCTGTCGAAGCCAGAGCACTAGTCATGTGCTGCAATTCATCCGCGCTGTGTGAAAACAACGCACAGTCGTCAGCAAACAGTAACATACGGATAGTTGTCTCACAGACTAGAGTTCTCGCACCGAAACGACGGGTATTCAGCAACCCACCATCAATACGGTGCTCCACACGAACACCGTAAGCACAAGCGGCATCAAAAGCACAAGACAACATTGCATGCAGATAGATATGAAACAAGGCAGGAGCTAAGCCACAGCCTTGCTTCACACCAGAGACAACTGCAAAGTCATCCGAGGTCTCTCCACTCAGCTGCACCCTCGCTCGCATACCACTGTGCAGACATTCAATTAAACTTACAAACTTACGCGGCCAACCAAACTTCCCCAACACCAGCCACAATGCCTCGCGGTTCACCGTATCAAATGCCTTGGTGAAATCAACAAACAGCGAGTACAATGGTTGGTGTCGTTCTCTGCACTTATCTTGCAACTGACGAGCCGCAAACACCATATCTAGAGTGCTGCGACCCGAACGGAATCCACACTGCTCTTCCGCCACGTTAGGTTCTACAACCTGACTGACGAGGCGGTTGAGCAGGATTCGGGCAATCACCTTGCCCACACAACTCAGCAAGTTGATGCCACGATAATTCGTGCACCATTGCTTGCTACCTTTGCCCTTGTACTGTGGTAACACAAGCGCATGCTTCAGCTCAGAAGGCACTTCCTCGTTAATCCACACGCGTTGCACCAAGTGGTGCAGCGCAGTCAACAACGCGGGTCCACCGTGTTTCAATACTTCAGGTGGGATCCCGTCACCTCCGGCACATTTGCCGTTTCGCAGCTGAGCAAGTGCTCTCTGCGTCTCATCCAGTGTCGGCGTATCCGCCAGATCCGCCTTCACATCGTGCTGCT